AATTATGTTTTGACAGACATGTAAAGACTTTAGATCCAATGCAATAAATCTATCTGGAATCAATCGCTCAAAAATGAACAAAAAGTCAAACTTACAGTGGTGGCAGAGACCGCCTCCAGAAACACGGCAGCAGCTACTAAAATCCCCAGCATCATCATCATGACCGCACTGTGAGAAGAGGTTGAGCACAGTTTTTATAAAGGAGACCCCTCCCCTAGACATCATCTGACCAGTGTGCAGTCTGTGGGCCTGCTTCGCCCACTGTTACATAATTACACGTAATATTTAACCACCTTACATCCACAGCACTTTCCTCAGTGCTTAATATGGATTGGATTAAACACTTTAAATATCTTTAGCTACGTCAAAATAACGTATGTAGTGATGAAACAAAATAAAAATACGGTTTTTATAGCCTCTCAACATGGGAAACAAGTGTTTTTCACTGGTCCATATTTAAATGTTGCAAAAGAGAAATGCAGTCTTTGGTGATTAATTTAATCTATATTGTCTTGTGACTCCAGTGTTGAGTAGTTTTCAGTTGATAGAAGCCAAAAGTCTTATGTTAGGCTTTTATTTAGCTTTAAGAAAGTTCTGAGATATTTGGTCAGGGACTTCAAGAAATTGCTGGGTGAAAAAGTAATTAAAATAAAATAAAAAACATATAGAAAAAGACAACACAGACATGTCTTTGCTATCATTAAAACTAGGGTTGTGTGTCTGACATTTGAGATGGAATTTTTAATATCCAGTTTTTGCAGATGTGTATCTGGAGCCTCATTACAGCAACATCTGTAACTCTGAAACCCTATATTATCTAATTTCAGGATGACATTCGGGATTTTTTGTATAACAGAAACATGCACACCGAAATATGATTGAAAGGCTACTCAAGCCGCAAGATGACACTCGAAATTTCCTGAACCACGTACAAATGGGTATATATATCAACTGCCAAGAGGATTATTTAATCATTAATAGCTTGTCCATCTCCAGTAGCCTACCAGAACGTTCTCGTCAGATTAAGTCAGTCTCGTGTACAGTCTAAATACAGATAGAGGCAGATGATTGAAGAATCGAATGTACAGTTACAGTTTGGATTTCTTAAGATAAGAAATTAGGTCTGAGATAAGACAGGAAACAGCCATGCGTTCAGCATTTGCTTCTGCAATAGACAGACAGGATTTTTCCTATCTTTGAAACTCATGATAGGAGATAGGCGTTAGGATATTTTTCTGTAATAGGGCCAGGAGGAAAACAACCTCTGCTGAGTTGACACAGCTGTCCAACTAGACTGAGAGTCACACTGCTGTGGCCAGTCCAGACATTAATCCTCATGACCCCTTTTACTCACTCTGAAATGCTGGACTTAATACCTGTATTGTAATTTACAATAGGAAGTTTTGGTAAATTAAGGTGGACATTATTAGCTTTCCCCAAAATGTAACCTATTAAATTTATTACACATAGGTAGTGGATTACATCAGGGTGCCTACAGGTTTCAGATGCTTAAATTTAATGCTTTGTAAGGCCTTTTCTAGATTTTTTTTTTTTTTTTGCCAAATTTAAGAGTCATTTAATATCTTTTTTAACACAAGCATTGTAAGTATAAAGGTAAGTATGTGGTCCTGTGCAGAGGTGTGTTTTATGCAGGAATATGGGGAAGTGTTCACAAATATTCTGAGAATCCTCTGACAGAGCTCCTAACTTAGCCTAAACATTTTTAGTAAGGAGTCCTAACTTAGGAGGGATTTTGGAAAGTTCACAGAGGAACTCTAAGAAAGGAAGGGACAGAAACTATTACCTTGGTGAGGTGTGGTTGACTCTGTTTTGAGGTTCAATGTATTCCTTTAACAGATGTGATTGGTTGTCACAGACACACCCTTTTGTGAGTCTGCAAGGTGTGGACACCCAGTGGAAACAAAATTAACTGCTGACTGTGAAATTGTTGTTTCTTTGTGTTTCCACCATTTTCTCCTCTGCTTAGGAAATGCTTAAGCCTCTTAAAAGTCCTCCACCCTGCTATTAACAGTTATTCACCTTAGGAGCTTGTTTAAGGTCTAAGATGCTCTGTGAATAACTTTTATCTTTACAAGGTCTTAACTCTAAGGGGAAATTCTAAGAAAACGTCACAATTCTAACAATTTTATTTTTTGAATTTCATCACAAGGAGCAACTCTTAGGACTAGGAAGCCTTGTGAATACAGAAAGCCTCCAACTTAGCCTAAAACTTTTTAGTAAGGAGTCCTAGCTTAGGAGTGATTTAGGAATGTTCTCAGAGCAACTCTGAGCAAGGAAGGGACAGAAACATTTACCTTAGTGAGGAGGTGTGGTTGACCCTGTTTTTAGGTACGATGCATTCTTTTAACAGATGTGATTGGTTGTCACAGACACACCCTTTTGAGAGTCTGCAAGGTGTGGACACCCAGTGGAAATGAAATGCTATGTTGGCACTCCTGACTGTGAAAGCGTTGTCATTGTTAGTGTGATCATGGAAGGTTGAGACAGACTCAAGTCATCACTGCTCTGTTGCATTTTTCCAATTTCCAAATATCTTAGTGTTGTTGTCATTTTATTTCTGGGGTCGTATTCACAAAGCTTCTTAGTTGCTCCTAGTGACGAAATTCTTAGCATTGTGACATTTTCGTAGAATTTCCCCTTAAAGTTAAGACCAGGTCCTTGTAAAGATAAAGGTTATTCACAGAGCATCTCAGACCTTAAAAGAGCTCGTAAGGTGAAAAACTGTTAGGAGCAGGGAGGAGGACTTTTAACAGGTGTAAGAGTTTCTTAAGCAGAGGAGAAAATGGTGGAAGCACAAAGAGGTCGGATAAATATTCTCCAAGCGCTGGGTGACAGTGAGTAAATGAAATGCCACAGATTAGATCATGCAGTGACAATGTTTGTGGTTGATGGCATTATGGGTACACACACATTTCCTACGTAAGGTTATAACACCAGAAACAAAATGATTACAACATAAAGATATTTGGAAAAATGGAAAAATGGAACAGTGCAGCAGTGATGACTTGAGTCTGTTTCAACCTTCCATCAGCAGAGGGATCACCCTAACACTTTCAGTCTGCAGTTCATTTTATTTCCACTGGGTGTCTACACCTTGCAGGCTCACAAAAGGGTGTGTCCATGATAACCAATTTTCTTAGAATTCCATCACTAGGAGCAACTCTTAGCACTAGGAAGCTTTGTGAATATCACCTATGGTTATTAGAGTGGGTTAGGTTACGCTACAATTTGCCAACAGGTGAGTGCAAGTAGAAAGTTACAGGACAGTATTAGGTTCAGCGGTAGGTTTAAAGATTTGTATCATGAGAAATGTGTAGTTTCACACAGAAGAGCTTCACTCATTTTGACAAAGATTATTTAATATATTTAAAGCCCAATATTTATAAAACTGAAATTAAGACATTGTTAATGCATTTTAAAGGTCCAGTGTGTAGGATTTAGTGACCTCTAGTGGTGAGATTGTGGGTTGCGTGGAGGATAACTATGATGGCCAATGCAGAAATCTGAAAAGTCAAATGGCCCTACCAAGAGCCAGTATTTGGTTTGTCCGTTCTGGGCTACTGTAGAACATCATGGTGGACTCCGTGGGAGGGGACCTGTCCATATGTAGATATAAATAGCTCATTCTAAGGTAACGATAACACAGTGAACCTTGGTTTCAAGTGATTATAAACTAATGAAAACAATTATGAATATTATAGACCATTCCTGCCAATTGAGGCCCCTAAATCCTACACACTGGACCTTCAAGGACCCACAGACACCATGTACCTATCTATGGGTAATTTACTATGAAAATTAAATTACCTATAGATATAATTGTGTAGCCATTATACTACTGGGCACATAAATATGCCCAGTTATCTAAACACCAGCATCTACATGGCCGTCCAAAAGCACCTGTACTGACATGTGAACAGACACACCTGTTACCATATTTATATGTGTATACATACTATGTGTCCAGCCAGCTGCCACAAACCATCAGGAAGAGCCAGTATAACAGAGCTGCCAGATCATCAGCTATCCTATATGGGTTTTTTTTCTCATGCTCACTGCTGTTTTATCATTTGTTTTAATTTTCTTATTTATCTGTCTTTTTGGGGAAAAAAATATTTCTGATTACTGTAAAATAAATACACAATGTGTGTATCATGTGACCGGCACATGGCACTTGCAAGGTATTTGCCTTAATAATGTTATGCAACTGCAAAATCTGAAGATAAACTGCATTCTGACATTTCTTCAACTGTATTAACCAAACTAGAATTACCACCTTGTGGTTGTATACCTCTGCCACCCTGTCAAGCTGCAGTTTACATTCATGTCTGTCCAGACTCATATGGAGCCAATACAGCAGGCAATCCTTTGAATATGGATGTTGCTGCAAAGAAGCTACAAATTCTAAAACATGCTTCACATGCATCTTCAACCCAGCAACACAGACGATATATACAATCACAGTGTCATGGCGGACACCCAAGATTAACATCATCATTTTAGTATCTGACTGAATGTCTTCCCTTCTGTTCCTGAGCTATGATGTTGAATAATGGCCAGAAGTGTGTTTGCATACATTATGATGTCACAGCAAAGTTGACCTTTGACCTTTTGGATATATAATGATATTACTTCATCATTTTTATTCAATTAGACATTTGTTGAAAATGACATTTGTTTTTTTATATAACTTTTATAACTTTGTCATAATTACAAAAGAATTCTTCAGCTATGACCAAAAACGTATTTTGTGACATCACAGTGACCTTAACCTTCGACCACACAATTTTAATCTGTTCATGCTTGGGTCCAAGAGGATGTTTGTGCCAAATTTTAAGAAAACTCCTCAAAGCGTTCTTGAGATATTGCATTAATAAGAAAGGGACAGATGGACGGACAACCTAAAACATAATGCCTCCAGCCACAGCTGTCGCCACCGTGGAAGCTTAAAAACCAAATTACAAAGATGAAACAGTTTGTACATAAACAACTAGAAATACTTTTTTATTTACATTTGCCTCAAAACTTTTACAGAATCTAGAAACATATTAACAGATTCAAGATGAATGTCATCAAAATGGTTTTCGGTTGTTACATGTAGTCCAGAATCTCTGTCTCCATCTCATTTTCACTTCCCTCCGACGGCTGAAACTCATCATCCTCATCTTCATCACCCTCATCGTCCTTGTTCTCATCATCCTGCACCTCTTCCTCTGTATCCGAATCTCTCCCTGGGAATTTTGCAGTCAGGCCGATGCGTCTGCGTTTCTTGGGATAATCCGGCAATGCTGAGAGAGGGGAATAAAACCAAGAGGCGCACTGGTTAACACACTTTTCAATGTTGTGTTTAGACATTAACAGGAGTCCTGCACCCTTTATATTTGTCCTGCTCCACTAACCACATCACAACAGTTTCTCAGGGTTTTTTGTGTCCATATTCTAAAATACATTTGTATCTACTTCCTAAATGGGTCATATCTACGTATCTAAAAACTGCATATCCCATGAGTCTTAGCCACAGAAGCACTTTTAAAGCCTCATAAGATGCTTGGTTGTTAGAAGCTAACGAGACAACCAGTCTTTAGTCTTGATTGAAATGATGCAGGGCCTTGGCTAGCTGTAACACCATTAGGACTTCCATACACATGCTGGCTTGGCTTGACTCAGCTCATCAGCCCAACGCAGCACGGATCTCATCACAACGGGGTTCCCAGCTTGAAGGTGTGTCTCTAACTGATGACGTGCTTGTACTTAAAAACCAACAGAACATTATCTGTCCACCTTACTGGTGTTAATGCAATCAACAAATTTCTTGTACTACTGTCACAGTTTTTTGATTTTCTCTCTGCACTGCACGAACATACGTCAGATGCCCATCTCCTCCAGCTTGCTTGCAATGTCTCAGAAGCAAAATGCGTCCCCCTTGTTAACCTGCAACCCCTCTCTATTCCCTGGGTCACGTCCCAGACGCTGTCCTGTCTGGACCCAGACCTGTAACCAATAAATTATTGAGAATGATTATATTTTGATGGAGCATTTCTATTTTTGGGGCGGCACAGTGTTTTTCTCTGGGTTCTCCAGCTTCCTCCCACAATTCACTGGTTAAGCTATGCTACTCAGCCAATCAAATCTGTGCACTCCGATAAGCATTGCGAGTCGAGTGAGTGAGACACACAAAAGGGAGAGACGAGACAGACTCTTATATGTGCAATCTTTCCACAGGCAGTTCAAAACCAGTTTGTCTCATCATATATTTCGAGACAGTGCTGATTAGTAAAAGCAGAAATGTGAAGCATCACTATGAGACAAAGCAGAAGGCATCTTTTTTCTCCAGGTGAAGAAATAGAGGAATCACAGTCTGGTTCAAATTCATAAACTTTTTTAAGCGCTTGAAGATGCAGTCATCACTAAAGCATATGTCATGTGAGGAAGCCATTATGAACAAATGGAATGATCAAAGTTGTCATATTCAGATTCAGACCTCATTCACCGAGTAACATGCAAGGAAACGTGATGGATATTTTCCTTACGTGGCTTCTGGATTCGGATGACCTTCTTGATCATGGCTGAGATCATGTCCCTCAGCTTGTCGGTGGTGCCAAGAACACACCAGCCGTCCCGCTCGTCACACGGCTGCTCATCATCACCCATCTGTTCGATCACCTGTTTGATACTGGATACACAACAGCTGCATTACACCCAAAATGTGGGGGACACTTAAAGGGATAGTGCACCCAAAAATGAAAATTCAGCCATTATCTACTCACCCATATGCCGATGGAGGCCCTGGTGAAGTTTTAGCGTCCTCACATCCCTTGTGGAGATCGGCAGGGGGAGCGGCTAGCACACCAAATGGCTGACCGTGCCCCAGACTAACGTCCAAGAACACAAAATTGAAACCACAAAATATCTCCAACATGATCATCCATAGTGATCCAAGTGTGCTGCAGCCCCGACATAAAAAGTTGTTTCAAAAAACGTCATATGAACTCTGTTTTTAGCCTCATTGTAGCCTGTAGCTCTGACTGCTTCTCTGTGCTCCGCATTCACGTGTGCGCGCTTGCGCAAGACCAGGGAAAACATGAGCTTTGCTCACCCGTGTTTACATCACGTGACACGTGCACCGCAGGGGGAGACAACAGTAACCACAGAGCTAAAGATAATTTGCATTACGGTCTTTTTGCAAAGGACAGCCCAACATGTCTGAAGACTTTAAAATTGAGGAGGAACAGCATTTCTTTATTGAGCCGTATTTGTTTGAGCCCGAGTATACGGACACGGAACTCAGGCTACTGGACGAGGCAGCAGCCGCCGCAGCTCATCAGCCTCAGCCAGCCGCAGAATACTGGAGTCGAGCACTGGAAACCTGGTGGTGTAGTTGTTTCAAATGCAAAGCAATGCCAACGGATGAGGAAAGTCTTTGCTGCTCAGACTGGGAATTGGCGATGTCTGCACTTGAGAATCTGGACATCAGTACTGACGAGACTGCTGCTCTTCAGAGACCGTGCATCACCGATCACCCTGAGCACAGAGAAGCAGTCAGAGGTACAGGCTACAGTGAGGGTAAAAACAGAGTTCATATGACGTTTTTCGAAACAACTTTTATGTCGGGGATTCAGGACACTTGGATCACTACGGATGAGCAGTATGGAGATACTTTGTGGTTTCAATTTTGTATTCTTGGACGTTAGTCTGGGGCGCCGTCAGCCATTAGGTTGCTAGCCGCTGCCCCCGCCTATCTCTGCATGGGATGTGAGCACTCTAAAACTTCACCAGGGCCTCCGTCGGCATATGGGTGAGTAGATAATGGCTGAATTTTAATTTTTGGGTGCACTATACCTTTAAGTACAATTTAGAGGTTCTTGTCAGATTAGGCATATAAAACATAATAAAAAGTAAATTATGATGCATTATTAAAAGTTTAAATAAGATTTTGCTGTAGGGAAATTCACAAACTACCCAGCACTGAATACAATACTTAAAATTAGCCCCATCTTTACAAGCTGTAACACTGAAGTGACACACACACTAATGCATCAATAATTATCATCAATAACTACCCTATAAGGTAACACAAAATTAGCCCATCTTTAAGATCCCCAAAACTGAATTTAGATCACTACACGTAAATCTACGTGGGGAAATTTAAGGCTTTTCCCAGACACCCTGACAGCAGTCTGACTGCCAAAAATTTGAGATAAGAAACTATTGCCTAAGTAAGAAGTTGTGCGTGCACTGCACTGTAACGAACCTTTCCACATCCAAATCACAGAGCTGGTAAAACATCTGTCTGTGAGGAGGCAGCATGCCTTCTCTGAAGATGTAGGATGACTCCTGTGGACATGAAACAGAGGTCAGGAGGTATCACAGCAGATATCATACAGATATAATTAAAGTTTTTAATGATTAAGATAAGTAATCCCTTCACCTGTCAAGTTTTTACGATGTCAGAAAGAGATAAGACAACCCTAATTATCTTCCAACATAAGACCTGAAATTATCATTTAAAAAAAACAGACAAGTATAAACTTGAACTATGAAGTTAGTTCTGCCATTAAGCAAGAACAACTTGACAGTAGCATGTTGTCACCACGCTCCAATAATGTCGTCACATACCGGTAACTGGACTGTCACTGACCTTCAGCTGGTACGAGACTGGGACTGGATCTCGACTGGTACTTGGACCTTCCTGAGCTGAAAGTTCCATCACGCTTGCTGCCTGGGAAACTGGAAAATAGACACAACACTTTTTCCAATATGTTGTCAGTTTATCTTGGCAGCAGCAGCAGCGGGACAGTGGAGATTATTGAGGGCATGATACTGGTGTTACAGGCAGGGCACTCATATCAAAGTTTAACCATTTACAGCAGCAATGTGTATTCATGTTTGATGGTTTGACTCTGCTTATGGAATGCTCTGGAACTGAGGTGAAACAGTTATTGCTCTTTAATGGCAGAAAGTCAGTAGGCCCAGTATGGATAAATGGATTTCTGAACTATCTCCAACTCTGCCCTTGGAAAAAATTACACATGCTATCAGAGGTAATCAATCAATCTTTCTTTCACCATTTCAACATCTGGGGTCCCTTCATGTGCTGCTTGGGGTGAGGGGTGGGGTGGATTACAGGTGTGTTAAATCTTAGGCGGTTTTACCTAGATTTTGCCCAGGTGTCCTTTTCTTTCTGCATGTTTGTGGATGTATACATGTACATACTGGATGTGTGTATGTGTATGTCTTTGTTTATTAACAGATCAATAAAGATACTGTTGGAAAATAAATGTGCAGAATGAATGTGTCAACATTCATGTGGACTTCCTTCCTTATGTGAGAGATGAGACACATCCTGGACACACACACATGATGGCATATGGATCATGTGACTATAAAACTGTCTGAACTACCACAAGGCTCCATTTCATTCACACTTCTATCTTGTTTTACATTGATTAGCACCATTTACCAGTTTTTCCAGTGTCTGAATTTTACAAATGATTAAATTTCCAGCGATGAAAACTGAGTTCCAGAGGCTACTCAGTGTGAGTTCCATCTAAACAAGTTCACAGACTCACCTGTTTTGTTGAATGTGATGGGCAGACTGTAGTTAAGGGCGCTCCTCTTGGCCTTCACTGGCATATCAGAAAATGAATATCCTGCAGTGTGAAGAAAGAGGAACCGACAGTCAGTGTGAGGCAGACAGGTCCTGACTTTTCATTACAGGTCTTTTTTAAAACCAAATGTAAGAGCCCATCTATCTTTACGCATCTCTCCACACCAATCCGAAATTTTTGTATTTCCCAGTGCACATTTTGATGCCGCTAAAACAAGCATTGCGATCAATATATTTTCTTTGAAATCAATGTCATGATTCTCTTCAAACTGTCACACAACAATATGGATGTTGATCTCGCCAGATAGTGTCCTCTCTGACAAACTATGAAAAGACCAACTGGGAATATGTAGCAGCTAAACATGCTGAGCTCACTTGAGAAATCCACTGAGCCCCAGTGTTATAAGCTGACTGTTATAAACTGACCAATAATAATAATGATAATAATAACACATGTGGTGATAAAAACCAGTGTTATGAAACTCAGCATTTACACTTGTTAGATCAACATGCTTCTTTGGTGCCACCCTTAGGAAATGCAACCATATTGTAACTCTTCTACACAGTGTTGCACACTAAAAACAACGAGCCCGTCTGAGTGTGGGTTTATTATAGTAAAAATTACAATGACAATGATGACTGATGGCGCAAATATTTAATTTACGGTGGAGTGTATGGAGCATGAATATTCGTGTTGGACTTGGTGTAAAAGGTACTCCGTGGGGCACCGGTGGCTTGGTGGTGGAGCGGGCACCCCGTGTACAGGGCTGCTGCCGCGGTGGCCTGAGTTCGGCTCCGGCATGTGGCCCTTTGCTGCATGTCGCTCTCTCTCTCCCCCCTTCACACTTGTCTGTCCTATATATTAAAGGCTAAAAAGCCCAAAAAAATATCTTTTTAAAAAAAAAAAAAAAAGGCACTCCGTATTTTCATTGTTTTTTTTGTTTCGTCCCAAGCGTGAAAAGCCTTAAGACTCAAAAGTGGAAAAAAGGACGGTGTGCAACATCATACGGCACCTAATCTTTCTTTTTAATGTCAAAAATGGGAAACCAAAAGTAACGCTTGACAGAACTCAGTGAAAAAATATATTGAAATAAATCCTCCTTGAAAATGTCCTTTATATAAGAATAAAATAAGAATAAGAAAAGATTGTTACCGTGCTTGGTGCTACAGCGGATCCTGAAGTCCAGTAACTGGTACTTCTTGGACTCTTTGGTCTTTCGGGGGTCGTAGCCCAGCCGCACCCACAGACTTCTCCATGGTCCTGTCACCTACAAAAGCAAATCTGTTTCACTTGCAATTGGGCAGAAAAAATGTTGATTATCTCTTTTTAATTTAAGTACATTTCTTTGATCATTTACAAAGGACTTCATTATTTTGTTAAAGCACAGAACAGACTGTATGAATCACTCTACAAATGTACAGAGTGAACACAATAACATGAAAGCTTATAGTATTGAATCATTCAAATGTGCTTCACACCACAGTCAAAACAAAATGATGTTGTTTCCTATATGTTCACAAAATCTATTTCAATAAGAGAGTTTCCATTTTGAGACATTTCTCTTCAGCTCCTGCGAAGCCACACCTCACCGAGGCTCAGTGCTCGGCTTTCATTTAAGTTTCACTATCTCAAAATGCAGCACATCTATATGACACCAGGGAGAGTGCATTGAACGCCAGTTACCTTCTGACCTAAAATGCACCGACACAATCTTTAACAGACACACTGTTCCCCCTCAGCTCACCATGTAGTAGGCGAAGACGGGCAGCAGCAGCTTCAGTTTATCAGGGTGGATGTTGATGTTGGCCTTGACTGCGTTCCGGGACCAGATGGGCCGACTCTCAAACATCTAGGTACAACAAGTTTAGTTTGAGATAAGATAAAAGTCATACCTGTGTTACATTAGGTTAAATCATTTTCTGACTTCAGCCAGATGCTATTCCTGGAGTATTGCATTGCTCAACGAGGTGCATCTGGCCTGCGGCAGCAGCAGAAGGAGCAGGCCTCTGACATTAGGACTGCTGGGCTTGCTGCCTCTCAACCTGAGATTTTGTATTGTCTTGTTTTTATGCCTGCGTGTTAATAAATCCCATGGATTTGATTGTTTTAAAGGTGTTTTCTGGGGTTGAGTGTGGAGTGTTGTTCATCCCATATGGCTGCCCGAGGGTGGGGAGTAACAGTGGGTAATGAGACAATGAATATTTACCACAGTGACCTCAGTTTTTATTTCTCACATGCTCTATTTCTGATCATAAAATTGTAAATGTTTTTGCTACAGGTGCACTAATAACCGTAATGATATGCTATCATTACTGCTCCTCAGGTCAAGACTCAGCTGTCCATTTACCTCTAAAGGAGAAGGGACATTCTTTCAAGGACAGCAATGTTCACATCTTGGCCAGAGAAAACAGATGGTTTGAAAGAGGTGTGATAGAAGCCATCTACGTCAAATTGGAACAACCATTGTTAAACAGAGGAGGTGGCCTGTGACACCACTTATCAATGCATTCACACCTGAACTCATCTAACCCTAATGACACACATGATGGCCAGGTGGGTCAACGACTCACATGTGACCTCAATGACTCTGTAAGGGTTCACACCCACACAGAGTTTAAAGGAAATGACCACTTTAGAATGAAAATACAGACAGTACTTACTCACCCTCATGCCGACAAGAAGTCCAGTGTAGTTTTTTAATCCACAAAACAAGGCAGGGCACTTGGATTATGAAGGACGAGCTGCTCTGACATTTTTGAAATGCATTAGCAGAGGTTTATTACATTTTCAAAATGTGGGTTCCATGCACTTCAAGTGTATGGAAAAATCTGGCTAGCTGTAATCCTCCGATACCCTCAAAGAGCTGGATTAAAAAACTACACTGGAATTCTTGTCGGCATGAGGGTGAGTAAGTACTGTCTGTATGTTCATTCTAAAGTGGTCATTTCCTTTTAAAGCCTGCAACTCCGCACCAGTCTGTTAGAATTAAAGAAGCTTCTTGGATGAGAGATTAAATGACGTCAAGGAACTCAAGCAAGTCTGGTTGCCTATGATATAGCACTTAAGATTATCATTACTGTTATTATTATTTTATTGCTATCGTCACACTATTATTTGTGTTTCTTTCCTTCCTTTAGTTTTTGCGTCTCTCTGTGTGCCGTAAGAGCACTTTGGATCAACTCTGTTTGTATTTAAAGTGCTATATAAATAAAGATGACTTGACTTAAAATGCTAAATTCTTCAAAACAAAAGTAAGTGTGGACTGGCAGCTTGAGAGGCACAAGGCATGATGGGAAACACCTGGCTCTTACCTCTAACAGCTGATTGGTTTAAGCCTGATTTATGGTCCTGCATTAAATCAACGATGTCGCTACGTCGTAGGGTACGTGGCTACGCAGAAGGCTCGCCGTAGCCCCCAGCGTAGCCTGACGTGCACCTCCCCAAAAATGTAACTACACGTCGAGGCGACGCAGACCCAGCGCAGACCGAGAAGGCTGTGACTAGTTTGCTTGGTAGCAATGCATTTCCGGTTCCGTATTTCCAGATTGCGCCATCCCCGCCATCTTTAAACATCTTCTCTTGCAATGGAGATGTTGCAGTATTAAGGCCCATTTATGCTCAACACTCAATACGGATACGGATACGGACGGAGCCATCTGTCCGTGCTCCGCGTTCATTTCTCTATGACTGGAAAAGCCGGAAGCTAAACAAAGAATCAACTAGAGACGACGATAACCATTCAGGAAAGGAACGCAGCCTCCTACAGCTCTGGCGGTGAATTGCACCGCAACGAAATGGAGTGAAGGAGAAGTTCGAAGGCTTCACGACGGCGTCACGGCAACGACGTAGGTACGTTGTAGGTACGCCACAGGACCATAAATCAGACCATAAATTAGACGTTGACTCAACACTATGACATTAAATATAAACTCTTAAAGAAGCAACAGACAGCATTTTTACCTATATATATCATTATGAAAATGATGTGGGTTGCACAGGGTAGTATACACAGTAAAATCAGACTATCAGCGTTCACATAGGTTACTTAATGGCTTTGCAATCTTTGCAATAAGCTTCTGCCACCGGGGACGAATTTTTGTGGAAAAAATTTGCTTTACAGCAGGAAATGTGTCATGTATTGCCAAACTGGTCGGTCAGCCAATCACGGACTGGAGCTGGTCCTCGTGAGGAACTGGCCGGGGCATGAGATAGTTGAGTCTGGAGCACAATGGCAGACGGACAAAGTTTGGAGATAAATGAAAAACGGCCTCCCAAAAGAAAACGAGCTAATCTGTATGAGGAGGAGAGGATGCACAAAAAGGAGAGTGATAAAAGAAGAGGAAAAACAAGAATAAACCTCAGTCAGGCATTCAAGAGATGGAGGGAGCTCCGTGACCAAAGAGGCTTCAAAACCGGTGTCCAGCTAGCTGTCTTTCTAATGGATCAGTAAGTAACACGGCTAAATGTTAGCTAGCCGAGAAAGGACTGTACTGTACTGGCTGCTAGTTCATTCCTAGCTGGCCAGCATCGCAAATCGCCGCAACCAGGAACTGGCTAGCGAGTGTTGGTCAGCTGACATCCTTGTTGCCATTCTACGGCAGCCCTCGGACAGTGATTCAGTGATCAGATCTAACAGGATGTGAGTGTTTCTATGGCTTCCTGTACGGACTGAACGCTGCTGGGAACTGTCTTGAAAGTGTCCAACTTCATTGCAGCCTTTTGTCACTGCCCCCTGCCACAGCCGCCTGATCTTGTCTACTTTCTAGACGAGGTGCAGTTCATCTCTAATGAGCCTAAAATGACTTTTTCCCACCAGGATTTCAATGTGTACGCAGCACCAGCCTCAGGTAGCCGGCTGGAAGCAAGCGGTTTACCACAAGGCAAAGTATCACGGTGGTAAAGCAAAAGATTTATTTCTGTCTACTGAGCCCTGAATTATATTTTGTGTGAAAAGCCTTTAGACGGTCAGTCTGGACTCCTGGTGCCTCCTGGAGGTAGGTTACAGTTCTCCTGATTTGATAAAAGACTTAACTTAGATCCGAGTGCCACAGATTTCCTAATATCATTTCTATGTCTTTATTTACATTAAACCACTGACCCTGGCAATCAGATGGTGTGTTGTGCTCTCAGTAACCAGCAGCCATGCTTACAGCAGCACACGTACCTTCTTCAGCTGTTCTTCAGCCTGCTTTTCGTTCTCCTTCACACAGACTCTCTCCCAATTGATCTTGGCTGGCTCGAGGCACTCTGTGGGCACGGTGGGATCAGTGAAGCTGACAAAAATGGCATTGTGGGGCCGACGAGCTCGACTCCAACCAATGAAGTTCTTGCTGCTGAGGGGCTCCTGGCTGCAAACAGAAAGGAGAAGAGATATAATAAATATATTCCTGATAGGCTGCATCACATTGACATTGAAGATAAAGAGTTTCCAATACTGTTGTTTACACAGGACACTTGACAAAGAGAACTAACAGAAGCTGTGAGAAGCTTTTTATCCACAGAGCCCTTACAGTGACTTTTGATAGACATGGTCATGCCGGTAATAATAATCCACAGGACTGTCGAGGCGTGAGAAGCTGGCGGGAGGAAGAAAGAAGGGCATGGGCTTCTCAAAGAACTCCTGATTCTCTGATTTGCGGAGGATGATTTTGTCATACAAAGACGTCTCTTTTTCTCCTTCTGAATTCACAGCGAGGTACTGAAAGTCTGCCATCCCTGCAAAAGAAACAAAACCATAGCTTCTATATCAGTCTTTTTTTATTTGAGAAGTTCAAACAATGTCTTTATGATATAGACTGCATAAGAGTTTTATCTATATGACAATATGACAGTGGTAAAAAGGAAAAAAAACTTTCAATCAAACCCTGGAATTTGTATGTCGTTCCTATGACTCCGAGGATATCCATGTGGATCTCAGCGTCCTTGGGGTCCTTTTTCCGCACCCGTCGGCGCACTCTGAGGACAAGGTTGCTTGATGGGAAGCGGTTTCCACACAGAGAGTGACAGAAAGGGTCCTGAGGTCGGTAGCGCATCTCGAGGCGCCTGTTGGGGTGAGCATAGGTCTGTGAGGTTCACAAGAAATGTAGGGACAGGGATCAGATCAGTGTTAAGCTGCTGCAGTGATGATAAAGAAGTTGAAAATAAAAAAGTGAGAAGGACAGACTGAAATATTTTTTTATCTTATTAGATTAAACACATATTGATAAAAGATCATTTGGAACATAATTTAGAGTTTAAAAAAAAGTAATAAATTGCAATGTATCACAATGCTCAGCATATTCAACATGTATAAAATCGCAATAACATTGTATCTTATCTTAACCTACCTTATACTACATCAAAAGATAGGTTTTTGTAAGATAGATAATTGGTAATTAGTATTATAAACATATACCTGGGTTATTTTTGTGTGACAAAATTAAAAGTAATAACAATGGTATATTAAGAAAAGTCTTAGGTATAGGTTTATCTATGTAAGGAAGCTGTCTGTTTCACTTCACTCAATGACTTATGGATAAGGGGTGGGATTTAATAAGTTTAATAAATTTGTTTTACATTTAATAGCACGTAGATATTTTAACATACATCAAGGTGAGGCTTGAAACTACAGAATAACGTGTAACATTATTAAAAATCTGACGAAACAAGACTTTGTGTGTTATATTAAGACTCCTACAGTAAATATAATTAACACCCAGGTCTGGTAGCTACAACAGTCTGATCCAGCTGTGGTCTGCTTACTTTGGACACTGCCTTTTCACCCCCGAGAGTCTGCAGCATCTTGTCCACACTGGCGACCACCGCCGGATACTCCACACACACCAGTTTGTTGTCCCGCAGCTCCACACTGGACGAGCTGCCGGGAACATCGACAGCTTCAGGCTGAGAGGAAAGAGTCAGCTCTTTCAGGATAAAGTTCAGCTTCACCTCCTTGGAGTCCGCCATTTTGGCTCTTTAAATTACTATATTAATGTAGGCATGAAAAGCTGTAGTTACACCATTTACTACATGTAAGAAGCATGACCACCCACGTTGGCTCGCTTCTGCAGTGAGCGGGTGTCCATGTTTCTTACGCCGGGCGGAAACATGAGCGGACTAGATTAGTTCGTCATTGGTTCCGCCCGGAACTCCGCTTGACCACTCGGTTAAAAATAAAAATAAAATAAAGCCATGTCAACATCATTTAAGTTGAATATCTAGATTTAGCCATCGCTTATATTTTATAGTTTATGTTACTTCTTAAAAAAATAAACACAAACTGTAATGACAAATAGTCACGAAATGCATGCTATTTGAATTCAGAGCTTTAACTTGGTGATATTTCAAAATAGTCAGGTCGAAATATTTTTTAGATTGCACTGGAAATCTGTTTTATTTATTTATTTATTTATTTATTTATTTATTTTCTGTGTGTATTTTTGTCACCATTGCATTGTTACGTAGTGTTTAACAGCTGTTTTTTAACATCTCATTATGTTCTCTATGTACCCTATGGCTTGTATGATCAAATATCTTGAACTCAACTTACATATTTATATACCTAATCAGATTAAAGAAGTACATCTCAAAATTTTACTTAAATTTACCCTGCCAACTGTCTTATTGCTAAGTTTGCAGTCTTTTTTTCTAACCCCCAGTTCAGTTTATTCCTTTAGCTTTAGGTATATTATTTGTTATTATTGATTTGATTTGATTTATTTGGAACATTTAAAAAATAAAATAAAATATATTGTAGAAAAAAACCCTATTATGATGATCCAGATAATAGTGCTCATTAATATCTATTTAATTTTGTTATTTTTAAATGCCAGGTTTTTTTTTAATTTATTAACAGAAGTTCTGTAAATCCTCTTCTAAAATCCATTAAATGCCATTTTATACTCTTCATATATACTTATGTCATTCATATTTGTTTTTTACAACTGCTGCTATCGTTTGCCTGTTTTTTTACATGTTCATTTCAACGTATAAATTTGGCCACAGGGTGGTGGTGTAAAACCAAACAAAATGAGGGGAATTCTCTGGCAGTGGGAATGATACCACATCATCTCCATCAGTGTTAAATAACTAAAGCAGCTCAGCCTTCTTCAATGCTCTGAGTCTACATGAATGATTTCTGTATTTATTTCCATTTCAAACTTAAGAATGGGTATCTTAACAGCCACTAAAAGTGTCTTTGTGTCGTCAGAAGGAGACATCCACTGTTGTCAGATTTAGAGGGACCTTAGTAAAGAGGATTTGTGTGCTGTCCCTCCCAGAAACTGTCAACAGACTGTCATCCCCTCAGAGAACACAGGAGACTTTGAAGAAACACTCGTGTTTACAGAGTTATTTAAGATGCTGTTATACAGGCGATTACAGTCTGATGTGACACCGTGTTTACTTAGATTCTAGTTCGTCTTCTTCTCTCTTGCCTTAAAGGCAGTACAAGGTGTAACATACAATTCTTAGCCATCTCATATTCACTCTTAAAATCATCCTCATTTAAGTTTAAGTATTTGGGTTTTTTCCATGTTTTTGATTTTTGAAAGAACAGACTGACATTTGAGAGAAATATTTTAGGATTTTGTCATGTGATATGTCCCTGTGCAGTGCAAATAATATGTAAAATGTCTGAAAAGTCTGCTGAAAAGGTGCAGTCACATGTAACTTCTGGAATTGGATGTCAGCTAGAAAATGTAATGCTGTCTTTGGTTGTCCCTCATGGATGTTGAAGCACAACGAGTGCCTAATCAACCTGTAATTTGGGACATGTTTAGCCTAGCTTAGATTAAAGCAGTTACAAGGTGTATTTGTTTTGTTTGTTTGTAAAAGGACTATGCTAACAGTTTCCCACTGCTTTCAGTCTTTGCCCTAAACGGCTAAGCAGTTCCTGGATCAATCTCTGTACCGGACACGCAGAGATTAAACTCATGATTTTCTTATCCAACTCTGGGTACGAATTTACACCTTTCTCACAGCAGACATATTATGACTTGTCATAGAAGCAAGGAAAATGTCTAATTAATAACAAAAATGATGTCTGGCTCTCAAAATGGCATACAAGGCTTAGAGTGATTGTCAAATAGAACAGCGCCATTGTTAACGTTATTAGCAGCACATGTTTTTTCTGCCATGACAAGTTAAAGCTCCAGTGTCTAGGATTTAGAGCCATCTATTGGCAGAAAGGGTTTATAATATTCATAACTATGTTTTCATTAGTGTATAATCACCTGGAAATAAAAAGCATTGTGTTTATATTATTTTAGAATGAGCCATTTATATCTGCATAACAAGTGGGTCCTCTTCATGACTGTATAGAGAAGTGGATATAGCTTTGGAGATGGGGCCCCGTTCATATGAAGGCTGCTCAATAGCACATGAAGCCAAAATAGCTTGATTTGTGCAGCATGAAATTACAATTACAATTACAATTACAATTTATTTATTTAAGGTAGGGACAGTACATATTAATAAACATAGTACAGTAGTACATGTAAATATGCCAGATTGTAGCCCACGGCTAATTTCCATCTGTCGTCCCTAGGCAGGTTGTTGTTACTTTAGTAACATAAAAACAAAATGCATAAATAGCACACGAGATACAGGAGAAACATGGAGAAACAGTACAAATATACACATAATAAGTAATAAACAGTAGGAAACATTCAAATATGTCAGGAGTGACTGAGGAACTAGATCAGGAGTGACCATAGAAAAAGAGGATAAAAAATGGAAATTTCCTTGTATTGCACATTTCCTTATATTACACATAGCCCTATTATATTGCACCAACCCTGTTGCACATAACCCTATTTAACAGTACAATTAAGCATGGTCACAAAACTGGTTAGCTTTGAGCCACACCTTTAGATGACCCTTAAAAGTGGCTAGGCTAGCACATTCCCTTACGGAGATTGGCAGGCTGTTCCACAAAGTGCTTCCTTTGTACGACAGGACATTCTGACCAAAGGATGTTTTTCTGAGGGGTACCACACACTCCCTGTTCGTTACGGCCCTTGTTACCTGGGTAGTGATTGGCCTAAGTGTAATGAAGTCGTTAAGTGGGGGTGGTGCCAATCCATGCAATACTTTGTACATCAAACACGCTGATTTAAATCTTTTAAAATTTTCAAAACTTAGCAGACTATATTGAGATAAAATATTACAGTGATGATACGAGAATGGCTTCTTACCCAGTATTTTCAGTGCTTTTTTGTATAGAGATTCGATTGGTTTCAGTGTTGTCGTAGCTGTCATTGACCAACTAGTTAGACAGTAACTCAGATGGGAAAAAAATCATAGAATGCAAGAACAACATGGCAGCGTATTTGCCTGAAGTTATACAGGTTGAATTTGACCGTCTTTGTTACCATTTTAATGTGGCTTCTAAAAGACAGAGTAGAGTCCAGCATCACACCAAAGTATTTAAACTCTTTTACAACATTCAGCTCTTCTCCTCCCAGACGAACAGAGTGTGTGTGTGCAATATGTGTGGGTTGTTTCGAAAAAAACATACTAACTGTCTTTTTTGTGTTTAACAAAAGACAGGACTCGATGAGCCAATTTTGTATGTGTATCAAAGCTGTGGAAAGTATGCAGGCTGCCTCTTCAGGATGTTTTGCCTTTGTAAAAATGACTGTGTCATCCGCATAAAGCTGTATGTCAACGTCCTTACATATATCGGGCAAATCGTTTATAAATAAAGAAAATAGAATAGGTCCCAGGATGGATCCTTGGGGGACCCCCACTGGTGAACCTAGATAGGGGGATCTGACCCCGTCAACCATTGTGCACTGCTCTCTCTCTGACAGGTATGATTCCATCCATTTAATAGCCCGAGCAGAAAAATTAAAATGGGTCAGTTTAGTTAAAAGCACTTTGTGGTTAACGGTGTCAAACGCCCTTTTTAGATCTAGAAACACAGCACCCACACAACCATTCTTATCCAGCAAACATTTGACTTTTTCCAGAAACACAGCTAATGCAGACTCAGTCAAATGATGTGGACAGAAGCCAAATTGTAGAGGATGCAAGGGAGTTTGACCATATTTAAGATGAGTTACTAATTGATTAGAAATCCATTTTTCAATTATTTTAGAGATGATGGGCATGATGCTAATAGGTCAATAGTTGTTCATGTCAGACCTGTCACCGGATTTAAAAATTGGGGTGACTGTGGGTGAAATCAGACATCACCTGCAGACCTGCAGACATCAGGGTGAAATCACCCTGCTAACTTGAGTGGGAATAAAAATGACTTAATCATGCAGATATGTATTATAAGTCCTATGGTATTGCTCACCTGGTGCGTGTGCCAAAAAAGTCTCTAGCTTCCAGCTTTACTTCTGCGATATGTGGCCCACTGAAGCATTTCTCCCATAGATTTTAAAATTGTTTTTCTGGGCTTATTAAAAAACCTCCATGGATCAAGAACGCAGAAGAGAAAGAGCCAGAATTAACCTTGCTTGCAGTTCGAGGTGTCCTGTCAACAGTTTTAAAGACATCTCCATTACAATGGTGGTCTATCGGGAAGATGCTTTTTGGGCCACAGGCCACACTTGGTCCTCTTCCACAGTCATGCATGCCACGTGTGCTACAGAAGCCCAGAGCAGACAAAGCAAACACTGGGTCTTGATCAACACATTCTCACTCTGACCTCATCAAATATTGTTGTTTGGTCATGGACTTTACACGTCCACACACGACGTGCAAGGTACCCTGGGTGCGTTGGTTATTGACGCTCTGGGACACCGTGTCAAGTCCTGCCTGTTACTGTACATGAATTGTCTTCTTTCAAAATACAATTCCCATCTCACAGGAAATTTACTGTTTACATACAGTCTCTTTCAAAATTAAATGCACTACGTCGGCACAACCCCGCAAATCAAGTTTTTTTTCCTTCAACAACAAATGTATATGGTTGAGTTTAGGCAACAAAAACACATGGTTGGGTTTAGGAAAAACGAACAGGGTTTGGCTTTATAATCTCACGGGACACAGACACCACTCTTCTGGGTGAAAGTTGGTGTTTGTTGGACCCATCCACCACCTCTCCCATCCGCCCACTCCACTTTCGCTG